ATAATTAAATGAATTTTTTTATATGCCATATTTTTAATAACATAATAACATAAACAATGAAGAATTGAAAATTTACTGGATAATACAAAGTGACAGTTGACAGTTTGACAACTGTGAAATTAAAAACATATTGTAAAGCATCACGTTTTCTTTTTGTACGATGAAATGATTATGCTCTTCGATTACACTTTCTTCTTCTCTTTTTTTTTAAAAGTCTTTTTTAAAAGTTTGAGAGAAAAATATAAATAGATTGAATATATTTACAATTGTAATATATTCATAAACTCAATAAAATTAAGAGACTCAAAGAACAACTTGAGAACAATTAGATTTTACGAATGATGGAATAAATAATGAATGATGTTATATTAAGACTGACATAGACAAGACATTTTTGTAATTTGTTAGTCCTGAGATTATTCTTAAACACTTGGAAAATTGGAGAGTTCTTTAATTATAACAATAGACCAGTAACGTGTCATTGTCCAGGCCTGACCGAGCGGAAAAACCGTCGTTGCTAGGTAACCGTCCATTGATAGTTGCTTCGTGTATCCCCTCTCCATCTCGCACGCAGGCGCACTGGAGGGAAGTGACTCGGGATTGGTTATTTCCCGAGAGATGACTCCACCCTCTCGAACCCCACTCTCGATTCTTTATTGGCTTGAGTAAAGGGGGAGATAGATCTTAGTTCTGATAGTTTTGCCCCAATGAAACAGTCGTATAGAACATAATTGAAATTAATAGACTCTCGTGAAATCATCTTTAACGTATCTTAGAAATATTTAGTATAGAAAAATATATTACGTTCCGTATAATAGTTAAATACAATTAGAATCTCGCCAATTTGTATAAAATGTCGAATTAGTAATATTTGTAAAATAAATCAAGTTCAAGGAAGTGAAATGATTCTTTGACTTACTTATTAGGAAACTCTTAATTATCGCATAGGTGCAAAAGGATCTATGGAATTGATCAAGGAATGTTACCAATGAGTTTTAATGCACAATTATTCGATAAGATATAAAGATATAATTACATTATTTGAGGATTAATCATAACCTCAAATAATTTTAACGAAAGTTTTATTTCAATTTTATTTTCTCAGAAGGTCTAATTATATTTACAATTAGAATTTAATAGTTCTTCAATTATCTTTCATTTTAGACAACTTATATCTATAAAATTGCAAAATAAAATTGCATAATCAAAACATTAACATATTATATTGTGATTGATTAACAATAAATTTTATATGCCATATTTTTAAATATTTATGAATGATAAATGTATTAAAAATATATTAAAAAAAATTTTAAATATAGAATGAAGAATGAATGAAGAATTCGAAGTTTGTATGAAATATCAATAACTGTGATTATATAATTATAATTATATTTTCCTCATATTGAAATGATTATATTTTTTGTTTTTCTTTTTTAGAATAAAAGTTTGATTGAGAGAAAAAAAGAATTAAATATATAAATAATTATAATATATATATATTCGCAAATACACAAACTCCATAATGTTATAACAATTAATTCATCTTTTCTCCGTGTATCTAATTATATTGCTTCAATTGTGAGATTGAATTTTTTCGGAAATCACGCATGGATTCAATTATATATAATATTATGATATAACAATAAAATATTTATATATTGATCATATTCGTTCATATTGGTTATTTTTCACTGAATCGAGGAAAAAATGATCGATAACCTTACAAGTTTTTACGACAATTTTATTATTATATTCTTAAGATTTGTGCATTGAGCCATTAATATCGATATTAAATTCAAAATACATTTACAAATAAATGAATAAATAATATTCAATTAATCTTAATCTCTGAATCCATATATAAATCGAGTTATTATACGGCCATGATTCAATAATTTTCATTACAATAAATATGATTCTATTTATTTCGATCTTTCTGACGAGTCGACAGAACTCGACTATACCTCGGCTTAATATATTATTTACGCTCCTTTCATGTCAGTAACGATATAATGTGCAGTGATTGAGGTAAATTACAATCGATCGATTTTATATACTGTCTGCGCAGAGACGGTTCGTTCTTTTCTTCATAGTAGATATTGATTTTTATTGTAATAAAAAACTTTTATTGTCGTTTTCTAAATTTTCTTTATTGTTTTATTTATTTATTATTTTCTCTTTTTTTTCAGATATTGAGGAAATTTCGATGCATTTTTATTTATAGAAATATATTTATGTTACTGTTACTTTATTCAACACGAGTGATAAAGTGAAATTGGAAGAGATCAATAAGGTTTGATTTTTTTAAAAAAATAATGTAATAGTATATATTTATAATAATTAAAATAATTATCTTAAAGTAATTTTTATATATTGAATTTTACTAATAAACTATTATTTGCAGAACGTTAATATTAACGTTTGAGCAATTTTTATTATTTTTAATTTAATTTTTCACGAAATTGTTCGCAATTGTACGTAGAATAATACAACGTAAGGTACGTACGAAATATTTTGATAAAATTCAATATAATTTAACAATATACACGTGATTAAAAAACGTAATTAATTATCAATAATATTAATATAAAAGGTATTATATAAAAAATTATATGAAATAACAATTATATATTAATAAATAAAATGCCTGAACTGATAGTATTACTCGAAAGATCCATCTATAGTTGTATAATTATTTGTATTGTGAATTTGAAATGAACGAATGATACTTAAATTATTTACTTTAATATTGATTTTTAATTTTACTGTAATATTGATCTACTTGATTCTAATCGTAACATAAACCCTCTTCGTTTCATGTAAATTGCATCGTTGCTAAATTCTATCTAATTTAAAAGACTTAATTTTTCCTCCAATCATTATTTACAACAAACTAAGAGGGGGCTGGAAGAATCAATGATCGCGTTGGAGGGCGGTTTCGAAGGATGGGCAGAGTCGCGTCCCTTGCGATAGTTTCCATGGTGATTCGACGCAAGGCATTTAGTGCGCAAGCGTGGCTTGTGAAGGCTTTTATATCTGCGTTTCGATTGCTAGTAAAGATATAAGGAAAAGAAACAGGGAGCTGTACTCGCTCGCAAATTACTACTAAACTGTTGAAAATAAAATTCAAGCTGTTCGATAAATTTATAAAACGAGGAGAAACACTTTAATAAATAAATCATATTACATGAATTTTATTTTCAATAAATTTAATAATGAAATAAATAAATAATTCTTCTCGTTGTTCCCATCGATGGTGTTGAAGGTATTTAATCAATGGAAAAAGATAAAAGATATTAGTTTTTGTAATCTATTATATATATGTTGATTTTATAATAGATATAAAAATGATCCACATAAATTTTGCAAATATTATTTGTTTATTTGCAATTACATTTGAACAATAGTAATAATTATCAATTAATGCTAACGAAATGAATTTATATGATATAATAAAAGATGTGATTACTAATTGCGAAAGAATACCTCGTTTTTTTTTTACGATAATTGATATTGTACTAGAATTTTAAAATTCTCATTTTGTAGAATTTGTGAATATACATTCACAATTCGAGGAAGTTTTGAAAACGAGAGAAAAGTGAGGAGGGAGGAAACAATTGTCTTTAGAATCTGAACATTAGACTTTGATTTACTGATATATATCTCGAAATGAAAAACTCATCGTATTGGAGGAAGAATGGAAAGAAGAAGTGAGAATGAATATTTTATTAAGCACCAGAAAATATATTTTCTATCTTTAAAATCTTACGTAAGTGTGCGGAATTTGTAAGAAAATTACAAATAAACATTTCTTTGAAAAATCGTATCAATATTTCTTATTTTCTTCTACCTATTCTATTCTTTTCTCATATATATTTTTAATATCATTTTTCTGAATGGCGTGAAAAGGATCATATCAAAAATGAGATGGTTACTTTTTCTTAGAATTAAGAAATAAATTTGCAGAATGATAATTATTCTAGATTGTTTATAATGGTATCGAAATGATATAAATTAAGAAAATCGTTATTAATATTTAATTGAGCAAATATTGACAAGGAGAATAAACAAATATGAAAATGAAGAATAATGATAATTATTTATTTCGATACTAATACGTCTAACAGGATACCATCGATTCTATTGCATCTATTGCATCTGAAACGCAGCAATTTTTATCAGCTCGGTGATCATGTATTTATTTAAACAAATTACCTTCGAAAAACCTGTATAGCATGGAGGAAGGAATATGCCCAAGATGTGAAACAACATGTGATCGAGCTTCGTGTCATGATGAGCAATAAAATCTTTTGTACCCTCAACGGTACAAAATACCATACAGAAATGTATCTGTCAGAAAGAGTAGTGACATAGTTTCTTTTTACAAATTTTTTTAAAAATTAATTTAACGAAATAAAAATTCAAACTTACAATTCCTTAAAGAATTCTTCACTGTTGTTTATAACTATCTGACAAATGTGGTTACAGAAGAATATTATTGTCAATTGATTGACAAAAAAGATAAGAGAGATTAAACTTTCTAATACAAATAAATTCTGTAAAAAGATGCTTCTATATGTGAAAATATGCAAGAAATGTAGAATTAAATTTTAAATCCTTTTTTTTTTAAATGATATGTATATATATATATGTATATTGATGAAAAACAATTCTATAATCGACGATTTCTAGAATTCATTTATTTAGAAAATTATCTTTTAAACGAAATAAAATTATGCTGTATGTGTATATTAACTGTGTACGTCAAAATATGATAATTTTTAAATATTATACAATATATTTATATGTATATTATTTACAAATTTAAAATAATTGCATCAATACATTATTTCATATAAATATTATACAATAAATATATATTACTCTTTCAAGGAAGAGAATATTTTTATGCTGTGATAAATAGACATCCTATCCTATAAACCATTTAAATAAAAATGTAATAAATTACACAAAGAAAAATTGTAATTTTTTATCACCTGAAATATTACATTGCCAAGAAATAATGCCAATATCCATAATCTCTGAATCCATACGTGAATCGAGTTATTGTACGGCCATAATCCTAAGATTTTCAACACAGTACGATAAGTGTTTGTCGAATACGTCCATCTTTCTAGTCAGATAGAACTCGAAGAATCATTCGACTACACCTTAATGTGTTATTTACGCAATTATTTTTCTGCTTTTCTATTCTCCAAATATAATTTCTCTGTAACAGAAACAGTGTAGTAGCAATAAATTAGAATCGGATCAATTTTATAATTGATTTCGAGAAAATTACAGTTTTTAAATTTCTCGTTTGAATTATTTATCTTTATTTTCCCTCATTCTTTTCTTTATTCTTTCGTCTTCCGTTCCAAGTGTTGAGAGAATGAAAGTTTGTTACGATGAATAGCATATTTCGGTTGCTCTACAAGACAACTTCTTCCTTACTTGTATCGTTACTTTATTCGATTGTGAGTACTTTGTTATCGTCATCTCATTCAACAAGAAGAGATTAGAAGAGATCAATGAAAAGGAATGTGTTCAGCTTGAATGGTAATATTAATTATTGGTCTAAAGTAATTTTTAAATGTTGTCTTTTGCAATTTTTCATCTTGTTGATATATTATTCTCAAAAGTCAATTCTAGGATTCGTTGCAATATTTCCTTCGATAAAATAATCCTTGCAAAATTAATTTGGAAAAAGTTATGCTGTATTATAACATACAGAATTTTTGCTTTCTGTATTTTAAAGAAAAGAGTAACTAAATTTATGATAAAATTAACAATTTTACTTTTTTTCTTCGTATTGAACGAATGTATGAAAACATAAGGCAAAACAAAAAATGCTAGTTAAAGAATGAAATTAATATTAAAATTATCCTCGTAATGTGTCAATTTTATCAATGCTTTAAACCCATCCCTATATCATAATATTAATTTAAAACGAAGCGATTTAAAATAAATTCATGTAAAACTTGCCATTATCTAAAAATTACTGTAATTATTGAGTGTAGGAAAAAAAAAAAAACTGCATCTCTATCCGAATATATCGCAATGATTTTCTTCTTATAATATTTGTCCATACTTGTTTTCCGAATATAAAGATTTTCTAATGCTACGAAATGAGAGTTATGCAATAGATTTAATATAAATGATCATTTTCTCTCACAATTAAGAAATATTTGTACGATATAGTAATTTTAAACTAATCATAATGGTATCGTAACAAAGCAAATAAAATAAAAATATAAGCAATTCAAGTATATGGAATATTTAATTGAGAAAATATTAACAAGAAGAAACAACGAAATAAAGAATAAAAATGAAGTAATAATAGTTGTTTATTTCGATACTAATTTTAATATTATATTTAACATGATACTATATATATATATCAATCCTATTGTATCGAGTATATCACGGTGAAATATGAGAACGAGGTGCTTAACATCTGAAATGAAACAATTTTAATTGGTTTCGAATTGAAAAATTGATATTCGTAATTAAACAAATTACCGTTATAAATCCTGCATAACATGGAACGAACACACCTAAGATGTGAAACGCACATGTCGTCGAGCTTCTTGTCATGATCAGTAATAAAATCTTTTGTACTTTTAACGGTACAAAATACCACACAGATATATATCTGTCCAATGAATGATATATATATTTATATTTTTTTTTTACTGTTACTATAATTAATTTCACGAATAAAAATTCCAACTTACAATTCGTGAAAAAATTCTTCACTGCTATTTGCAAGTATTTGAGCACTATGGTTGCATAAAAATATAAACACCAATTGATTGGTGAAAATTATAAGAGAGAGAAAAATTTCGAATTGATCCTTCTTAATTATAATCGCATTTACCAACTGAAACATTAAAAAGAAATATTTATATATTCAATACGATATAATAATTTTTAAGTTGATGATCTATTATTTATTGTTGGTTTATTATTGTATTCATTATTGTGCGTTCGACAAATTCAAAAAAATCTTATGCAAAATCATTGCAGGATATATAGGATGTCTCGATTAATTTCTATTCGCATAATTTTTTTCTGAATTGTGCATTATTTCAGAAAAGAAATAAAATTATAAAACATTTTGTAAGAAGTAATCGTGTTATGGTGACCGTCATATAATATTAAAATTTTTTTGGAAATGTGACGATAATTTTGATTTTTTTTTAATGAAACTATATGTATTTTGTCAAGATTGTAATCTAAAATCATTCAAAATCACTTAAATTGTTAAAATTTTGGGAAGATTTTAAATCATTTAATAACGATGAATAATATGATTTAATCGATGTAAATATTTTTATCGAAGTTACTCCATACCATTGAAATTTTTATTTAGAGTGACATGTAAATGAAAAAGTTTCGACGAAGAATTAATCGTTATATGAAGAATCGATTAAGGGATATTTTCCAAATTAATTGCGATATTTTTGAAAGAATAGAATGTCATTTAAGAAAAGGAGAAATCATCGATGTGGACTGTTATTTAAAATATAGAATAATAAGTTAAAAATTTCCACTAATTAATGATAATAAATGTCGAATAGCGATGAATGATCTTGAATTATTATTCAAAAATCATAAATTAGGATAATAAATTTGGAATAGACTACGATTCTATATAACTTTATCTTCGAAAAAATACACATCAGATAGATAAAAATCTTCATTTTGACCAAAACCAAAGAGCTACCAAAAGATATTTCTTTTCAAACACAAGTTCTATATAAAAAAATTATTTTGAATAATACATAATTTAAGGAATTTTAATCGTGAATTAAATTAAAACATCCTGACAATTCATTATAAAATTCGTTTATCGTATGTTAAAGAAAAAGCACTTACTCGATGCAGACTTATGGCCATCGAAATTACGGCTAGAAGAACAGATATCAAAAACTGTTTCCCAGAATTATTTATCAGGATATTGATAAGTCTTCCATTGCCATATGAAATTTCCAAATAAAATATTAATACGAGTATCTGCGAGATCGACTTAAAATATTATCATATTTTGATTTACCAACTGGATAGCTTGATTATGAATATCCACCACGCGATAAAGTTCCCCGAGTTTCGTGTCAATTTGCTTCGATGAGAGATTAAACGTGGTTAAATAAGCGATAATCTTTTGTATTCGATGGCTGAAAACATAAGATTTCTAGATAAAACATATATAATTTATTATTATGTATATTTGTACATTTGAGTGATCGAAAAGTGATAGTATAATCTTTAAAACATGTAATTCCTTAAAAATTGTACTTAATGACTCAAGTATGTAATATTACATGGATTAATTTGCTGGATTTAATTATATTATACTGTATAATGCATTACAACATGTACCGAATATTAATATTCTATATAAGAAAAATATATATAATACTTCAAACAGTATTAAATTTACAAAAATTACGCCATCTTACTTACAATCAATTACAATTTCTATGAATGTTAATTTATATTTTAAAAAAAAAAATGTAGATACATTAATCGTTAATATATATTACACGATAAGCATTATGCGAACTTTACTTACCTAATAATTTTAAACAACACTCCTGCATGATAACTACAAAGGCCGATTATCGATTCCGTACATAATATAGATAATAATCCAAATGTAATAACAAATATATAATCCAAGCATAAGATATAAAAATAATGGTTCGATTGACAGAAAATAATGTAAAGTAATGATAGTTATACATACGAGATTCATTGAAAGGCATTATTAAATCCAATATTATAGGATACAATAATAACATACCGTAGAATGCAATAGTTGTATACGTGATCCCTAGAAAAACCATTCAATAATATAGTTCAAACCGAAATAAATTCACATCATTGAAAAATCATTCTCGTAAAAATGTTAAAAGATTTGGTATTTTTGTTAGAAAGTAAAGAACATTACAAATATTATAGTTTTATATTTATTTAATAAAAATCTAAATATATTATAATAGATAAACAAATATTTTGGAATATTTCTGCAATAATAATAATAATAATAATGTAAATTGATATTATCAAATTTACACATCTCTTACATAAAAATATTTCGATCATGTGACAAGAATCATCGATGTATTTCGTTCGTATCCGTCTTTCTACCGAATCTTGTATTATACTTTCCTCCATATCGATATGTTGAAATAAATGTTTTATCTATATCAAAGAAAAAGAAAGGTGACATGAAAATAATATTTTTCCATAAGAAAGTCCAATATAATTTTAATATTTGCTCACCATAGGAAAAAATATTATGAAGCTTATATATCGTAGCAAAGTTATTATAAGTGGACAAGTCGTAGACAATATTAAAATACAGTTTCGTAAGGTAATTTCAGATCTTAAAAGTGACACAATCTAAAAATTTATTAATTAGAGTAGAGTTTAAAGATATTAGATTTTGTGATGATTGTATAATATTTTAAATACCGTTATTAATTAATCGACGTTCTAAAATATGTATAATATTACAGTTTATTGTAAAACAAAAATATAATCAAAAATAGAAGCAAAGTGTGGATATGAATGTAGAAACGTAGATATTGATTTTAATATTTTCTTTTTACACGTGTACACAAAATCTGGCCAATTAGCATATATAAGCGTATAAAGAGAAAAGAAAAAAATTAGGAAGAAATTTTTTTGTTTCAGGCCTTTGTCGAGAAAATTAAATTTTTTGATGTATGATTGCTTAACCTTCAATTAGATACGTACGATAAATTATAAAATTTTTCTATGCGTGAAAATATACAAAAATTGTAGAATAAATATATATATATCAAAAATTTAAAATTATAATACACTATATCGATATATTATTATTTCATATAATACAATAATACATATTATTTCAAGAGAGAGAATATTTTTATGCTATGTGATAAATAGACAATATCGTATAAATAATTTAAGTAAAAATATAACAATAAATTAAGTAAAGTAAAATTTTCATCACCTGAAATATTACATTTCCAAGATAGAGCGTCAATAATAACAATCTCTGAATCCATACATAGACCGAGTTATTGTACGGCCATAATCCTAGGATTTTCAACACAGTACGATAGGTACGATAGTGTTTGTCGAATACGTCCATATTTCTAGTCAGATATCGACTGTCGTATAAAACTCGAAGAATCATTCGACTACACCTCGCCTCGATATATTATTTACGCAAGTATTTTTCTCTCTCGTATTTTCATAGTGTTATTTTTTTCACAATAGTAATAGTATAATGTGTAACAATTGCGTAGTAAATTACGATCGATCGATTTTCGATGCACACTTTCTGCAAGGAGATTTTCCGTAATAGATATCGATCTCGAGAAAATTATAGTATTTAAGTTTCTTGTTTCTATTATTAATCCTTACTGTCATTTTTTTTAATCTCCTTTATTTTTCTCTCTTCTGTTCCAAGCGTGAGAGAATGAAATCGTTTGTTACGATGAATAGTATCTTTCGGTTACTTTACGAGAGAACTTCTCATTTGTACCCTTACTTTATTCAGTTATGAATACTTCACATTCGTTATTTGATTCAATGGGAATAACAAGAAGAAATTTTAACAAGATGTTTTGCTCGAATGATAATAATGTAAGAGAAAGATTTGCGTAATATTTAATTAATTTAAACTAATTGTTGGTTATAGTAATTTTTATATGTTGTATATTGTAGTTATATTTTAAATAATTATTGTCCGTAAAACATAATTATTAATATTTGAACGAGTAATTTTATTAATTTAATTTAATTTGCAATGAAATTATTGTAATTTCTATAACGCAATATGAAATATGTATGAAAGATATTTAATAATTTTATTAATTATATATGATAGGAAACGTGTAAATTTATAATCTTTTATTATTATAATTTTTTAATTATGAATGTAAATTTATAACAAGAAACAAATAAATTTGTAAGATTTGAAATTTGAAAAAAAGTTTATAAAATTTTTAAAATAGCTTAATAAGCTCGAAGAGAAAAAATATATAATACAAATCAATTGCATCGAGTTGAAATGCAAGTATTTATGTTTTTTAATATTTTTAATTAATTGTTTAATATTCAAGGACGCAAAAAACTAAAAGATATTATTTTTTAAAATATTATAAATTTCAAATATAAATTCTCCAACATACATAAAATAGAAATATTAAGAAATCAAATTTTTTTAAAAATTCATTTCTAATCACTAAAAAAAAGTCGAAAAAAATCTTTTTGTAATCTTCTTAATTTTTTTGAAAAACTCTTTTGAAATTCTGTAAAAACTCTTCAATATTACATGAAAAAGAATCATGCAGAGAAAAATTTTGCTTTTTCAATTCTTAGAATTTCGAATTGATAATCTCGGAAACATCAATTATGAAATAACATACATTGTATAAATCATTGTATAAATTATAGAGAATTTCAATACAATACAATTATTTTATATTTTAATAACATATTGTTTAATAAAAATTATTAATCATATATCGAAATATAGCAAATTTTAGGATAGTAGCATCACATAACACTGTATTTAAACATTTTATTCAAATCCATAGATGAATTATTCTATGATTCACTCAATCTGCCTAAATCCGTTGGAACAAATCAAAAATTCCTATAAGATTTCAAATTATTAAAGATAAATATATTTTTCTTTATTATAACTAGTAATTCGAAATAATTTTATTCGAAGAATAAAAATATCATCAACATGCAATATCAATGTGATAATGAAAAATGTAATTCTTATAGAAATTATTAATGGGCGTAAAACGTGGTACTAATGCGACCAAAATATTAAATTTCGATTATTCGATATCTGTTGAAGTCTAAACTAAATGATTTTGAATACTGCACAAATAAAATGCCTGAACTGATATTTTTATAATAAACCGAAGGACCATTTACTGTCGTAGAATTGATTATATCGACTGAATTGTAATTTAACTGTTTTTTCTAACTGTTTACGGCTAATTCACTACTGATTATAATAATTCTAATTCTGTACTTGGATCTGTATCGTTCTATCCGTAACTTAAATTCTATTTTGATCCGATTTCGAAATCTGGGTTCGCCTTCAATCATTATTTTCCATCCAACTAAGAGGGGATTAGAGCAACCAATAGCCGCATTGGAGGGCGTCGCAGCGCATGCGCGGTTAAAACCCTTGCAATCCATGATTGTCCATCGCAAACTACTCGTGCAAATAGTACACTCGTGAAATAATCACTGTTCTTACATTTCTGTTTAGATTGAGGATCTGAAAACTGTGATCTGCTCGTAAATTACTGTTAAGCTATTGAAAATAATAAACTGAAGAAGTAACTTTTGACTAATAGATTAAAATTTAATTTGCATAATTAAAAGCAATAAAATTTTAAAAAAACATGTAATATATTTCATATTTATATTACATAATAATTACTTGCAAAAATTAAAAATAAAAATTTATTTATAATTTTTCGATAATAAAAAAAATTAATTCATTATTTATTTCTTTAAAGATTCATAACCAACTTATTCACTGAAGTTTCTCGCATGGAAATATTTTTCCATTATTGTCGATCTTCATTAAACCTAAACAAAGGATAATGTTATGTAAAAAGACTGTCGTTTTTGAAGAGAGTTAAATATCCATACTTACAATTGTATATTTTTCGCACACATATTCGTATGGTAAGCAACATCATCCTAGTTAGAAATAATCTATAATAAATATATGCTGCTTAATTTAAGCAATGCTGATTCAATTCAATCGATATTATTGATTATTATCATGCCTCACTTAGTTGATTCTTCCAATTGAACTTGGAAGAAATTTCTGAAAGTCCTCGCTGAAAGGAAGTCTGGACTCTTGAGTTGAATCTGACAGTTGTTGCGACTATGTATGCGTTATAATTATCTATATAATCACCCTACTGTGACATTGTATGAGATCTAACTCTCATATAGACACGTGCACTTGTAATATATCTATTTATAGTTAAGAAAATATTATCACATTTCTAAAAAACACTCGATACATATATGCATCTAACAAACTTCCATCCTCTATCTTCATATAAAATTAAATCATGTGATAATAATAATAATGTGAAAAAGAAAAATACAGTGCTTATAGTTTTTTCAGTGGATATAAAATTGTGTATTATAACGATACGATTAATATACGACTAATAAAGATAATTTTGACTATTGTCTTTTTTGTTCAGTAATCTTAGATCATTGGAACAAAAAAAACATTGAATTCGAACCAGATAGAAGTAATGATTTTTCAATTGATCTTCCATGATCTGTGTAATTCAAATTCAAATGTCATTCCTGAGTTTTTTGTAGTCATTTGAGAAACAAGTTTGTGTGTAGAAACACATATTCAACCTTCCTAATCTGAAATCATATGGAAATGTATTTTAATTTATTCTTATGCATTTTATGCATATGGATAAGTAGGCAGATACAACATTTACCTATGTGCAATGTATTTGAATAAAAGAATGTGTACTGTCAATATTCTGGAATTTATTAAAACTTATTCGAGGTAAATTCTTATTGAACAAGAAGTTGCATGACACATAGATTGTGTTAATAAGAAACAGAAACAGTTTTTCGTGTATAGAGAAATATCAGTGAATTCACATTTATTAAGGGACACCATTACGCAGGCGATACTGCAATACGTTTTTGTCATACAATCAGTTAAATGTCGCTATTCCGTTTGATACAAATTTAAAATGCTAATAATTCATTAAATCTTAAATCTTATTGGACATATATATTCTTTTTTAATATTTATAATTTTGTTTTTATATCCAGCATCCACTCTTCAAACGTGGACTCCCACATTTTTGTGAAAATAAACTATAATAAGAATCTAAAATATAATTTCTTTAAAAACCAAACTAATCAACTTTACTTATAAATTTCCTGATTTCAGCAATACGAATAGAATAATTTAACATTATAAATCAAGTGAAACTAATTTGAAAAAAATTATGGTATAAATAATAAATACAGAATTTTTGCTTTTTTTCAGAGAAGAGCGACTAAATTTACAATTTCGATCACTTGCAATTTATCTGTAAACATACTTGTTCAAAAATGAAAGTTTTCTCTCGCAATAGTGTGATATACTAATTATTTTACATTAATCATAATGATATCGCGATGGTGAATAACAAGTAACGTAAACAATTGAGAAAATATTAACAAGAAGAACGAACAAATAAAATATAGAGTAATAATAATTGTTTATTTCAATACTAATTTAACACGATCACTATCAATTTTATTGTATCGAGTACATCAAAGTAAAATATGAAAACGAGGTACTTAACATCTGAAATGAAACAATTTTTATTAATTTTGAATCAAAATGATGATGATGATGATAATTAAACAAATTACCGTTGTAAATCCTGCGTGGCATGGAAAGAACACGCCAAACATGTGGAACATACATGTCGTCGAGCTTCTTGTCATGATCAGTAATAAAATCTTTTGTACATTTAACGGTACAAAATACCATACGGAAATGTATCTGTAGAAAGAGTAGTGACATTCTTTTTGAATGAACAATTAATGTGCAATTAATTTCACGAATAAAAATTCCAACTTACAATTCGTGGAAAAATTCTTCACTGTTGTTTATAAGTATCTGAGCACTACGGTTACAAAAAAACATAAACACCAATTGATTGACAAAAAAGATGAAAGAGACGATAATTTCCAACTGATCCTTCTTAGCTATAATCGCATTTACTAGCTGCGAAACATTTAAAAAAAAAATAAGTATATTTAATATTATGCAAAATTATATCCTTTGCATGTACAGGATGTCTTATTTTAATGTCTATTCGCACAATTATCCTCTGATTTATGTATTATTTAAAAAAAAAAAGTGTTGCATATAAAATTTGTACTTGAAGAGTGGATTTTATATAAACTATGATTCTCAATCAATAAAAACGTATAATTTTATTTAAAGAAAAAAACACAAAATAGAGAGTTTGAGAAAAAGTCTTCAAAGTGGTGCCAAAAGATATTTCTTTTCAAACACGAGTTTTATATAAAATTTTTTTGAACGATACATAATTTAATGAGAAATTAATTGTGGAAATAAATTAAATTAAAACATAACTGAGAATTCTGCGAATTCGTTTATTATTATTATGTGCAATAAAGTAAAGATACTTGCTCGATGCAGATTTACAGCTATTGAAATCACAGTCAAAAGGGTAGACATCAAAAATTGTTTTCCTGAATTATTTATCAGGATGTTGATAAGTCTTCCATTGCCATATGAAATTTCCAAATAAAATATTAATACGAGTATCTGCGAGATCAAATTAAGATGTTATGATATTTTAATTTACCAACTGGATAGCTTGATTATGAATATCCACCACGCGATAAAGTTCTGCTAGTTTCGTGTCAATTTGCTTCGATGAGAGATTAAACGTGGTTAAATACGTAATATTTCTTTGTATCCGATAACTAAAAACATAAGATTTGTGGAAGAAAAAATTGTTTAAAATTATTTTATATATATATTTTTACGATTGATCAACAACAAAGTATTGGTCTTAAACATTATAACTTTTTATTAAAAATTAATGAAATAAGTTCCTCTTCTTTTCGAAAAAATTAAAAGGATTAATTTAAAAATACATTTTGTAAATTTTCATCGATATTTATATACGTATGTTTAAAATTTCGAAATTCGAAAAATCGATCGTTTAGATTTTTAATAATGACAAGTGGTATGATAATATATATCGAAGGATTTCAAACAACTTTTTCTTCCTGAAAATTTTCATTTTGAATTATTATTGAAAAACTGTGGCCAATCATAGAGCCAATAATAAAACCGAAAGAAATGAAAATTTATGCCAAAACGAAAAAGTTGCTTGAAGTCATCTCACAATTTTAAATCAAGAAAATATTTGTTATATTAGCATTTAATGCATATTAATGCAATCTATATATTAACATTCTATATAAGAAGTAAGAAAAATATAATACTTCAAATAGTATTAAATTTACATAAATTATGCCATCTTGGGATCAATTATAATTTCTACGAATGTTAATTTATATTTTAAAAAAATTTGTTGTAAATGCATTAATCGCATTACAAGTAATAAGTATTATGCGACATGGATATAATAACTTCACTCACCTAATAATTTTAAACAACACTCCTGCATGATAACTGAAAAGTCCAAGTATCGATTCCGTAGATATTACAGATAATAATCCAAATATAAGAACAAAGAAAAAATTCAAGCATAAAATATAAAAATACACGGTTCGATTGATAGAAAATAATGTAAAGTAATCAAGGATATATATACGAGATTCGTTGAAAGGCATTACGAAATCCAATATCATCACATACAATAGCAATACACTGTAGAATATAAAAGTTGCACATGTCACCCCTGGAATTCAAAAAAACCATCTAATAATAGTAGTTTATGCTCAAAGTGAAATATTCATATAATATTACCATTGAAAAACCATTCTCGTTGCAAAAATGGAAGAAAATCTGGATTGTTAAAAAATGGTTGGAAAATTGTTAAAAAATAATTAATAAAGATCACGAATAATATAGTTTTATATATATATATATATATATATGATTTCATATTTCAATTTTTACTAATTTATATAAAAAGCATATAATAAAAACTTAAATATACAATTATCTTGGAATATTTAAGTTCTTGGGATGACAATAGTAATATTATAAATTGATATCATCAAAGAAATTTACACATTTCTTACGCAAAAATATTTCGATCATGTGACAAAAATCATGGACGTATTTCGCCCGTATCTCTGTTTCTATTGAATCTTGTACTATACTTTCCTCCATACGTATATGATTAAATAAATGTTTTATCTATATCAAAAAAAAAAAGAAAAAATAAATGTAAACAATATTTTTTCATGAAAAAGTCTGAAATAATTTTAATTTTTACTCACCATAGGAAAAAATATTATAAAACTTACATATCGTAACGAAATTATTATAAGTGGACAAGTTGTAGACAATATTAAAGTACAGTTTCGTAACGTAATTTTTGATCTCAAAAGAGACACAATCTAAAAATATTAGATTTTATAATAATTATATAATATTTCGATCGCACTTCTATATATATTATCACTTAATCGGTATTTCAAAATATGTTATAATGTTACAGTTTATCGTAAAACAAAAATGAAAGCAAAAATTGTACATATGAAGATAAAAATATAGATATTCATTATATTCTTTTTATATAAAATCTAACTGAATAGCACACAAAAACAGCGAATAAAAAGAAAATTAGAATGAAATTTTTTCAAGCTTTTTGTCGAGAAAATTAAATTTTTTCAAGTGTAATTGCTTAACCTTGGATAAGATGCAAATAAATTATGAAAGAAAATTGTTCTATATATGAAAATATGCAAAGATTGTAGAATTAAATTTTAAGTCTTTTTAAATAATATGTATAAATTTCACTTTTTTCAAAAATTAATTTTTAAACGAATAAAATTATGCCATGTGTATATATTACTGTATAGTTCAACATCTGTAATCATTTTTAAATATTATACAAATACGTTTTTATACATTCACGTGCACTAAACCTGAAATTCGATCAATACATTAATCAATAATTATATTAATACGTCGTATCAATAAATTATTATTTCAAGAAACAGAACATTAATATGCTGTAATAAATAGACGATATCCTATAAACTATTTAAGCAAAAATGCAATGAATTACACAAAGAGAAATTATTATAATTTTCGTCACCTGAAATATTACATTGCCAAGAAAGAATGTGAATAGCAGTAATCTCTGAATCCACACATAAATTGAATTGTTATACGGCCATAATCCTATGATTTTCAACACAGTACGATAGCTGTGATAGTGTGTGTCGAATACATCCATCTTCTTTCTAGTCAAATATCGACTGCCATAAAGAACTCGAAGAATCATTCGACTATAACTCTGCTCGATATATTATTTACGCAATTATTTTTCTCTCTCGTATTTTCATAATATCATTTTTTTTTTACAATAGTAACAGTATAATGTGCAGAAATTACAGTAAATTATAATCGATCGATTTTATGCATACCTTCCGCAAGGAGATTTTCCATAATAGATATCGATTTCGAGAAAATTATAGTATTTAAGTTTCTTGTTTGTATTATTAATCTTTATTGTCACTTTTCATTTTTTCCTCTTTTGTTCCAAGTGTTGAGAAAATGAAAGTTTACGATGAATAATATCTTCCAGTTGCCTTACTAGAGAACTTCTTTCTTATTTGTATCGTTAGTTTATTCAATTACAAATACTTCATATTCTTGTTTCATTTAATAGGAGTAACAAAGAGAAATTGGACGAGATAATTAAAAAGTGGTGCGTTTTACTTGAAATATATGATTTTACGTGAGAGATAATAAAGTGTTATAATAAGTGTTATGTGTTGTATTAATTATTATCTAAAGTAATTTTTATATACTAAATGCTGTATTATAAGAATAATTATCCTTACAAGTTATTTTGTAGAAATTATTAATACTTGAACGAGCATTTTATTATTTTTAATTTGATTTTGACCAAAATTGTACGCAAATGTAATTTATGTAGAATAATGAAACGTGAAGTATGTAAGAAATATTTTGAATATAAATCCAATGCAATTTTATCAGGGATACATATGATAGAAAACATGTATAAATTTACATGTATAAAATACAGTATGAGAACTTATATGAATTATAAGCGATAATAAAATAAAAATAGAAACAACAAAAATTTTAAAAGAATTTATTTCTGATAAAAATTAAAAAAAATATTAAATTTTCTGAATTTCTTGAAAAAAATTTTGGAATTTTGTAATAACTTTTCAATGTATTAAATGCAAATGAGAGAAATTTTTATTTTAGATTTAAATTTGGAATTGATAATCTCGAAAACACTTAAACACTTGTGTAATAATACATTTTTATATTCGTAAAACCGATATTATTTCCTGATCATCAATTTATTGCTTTATCGCACAAAAAAAATATCTGACAAAAAAAATTACAAAATCAATTCATATATCAAAATAGAATTATTAAGTCTTAAAAATATGAGAAAAGAAAAATATCTGACAAAAAAAATTACAAAATCAATTCATATATCATAGTAGAATTATTAAGTCTTAAAAATATGAGAAAAGAAATAAAGAGACACAAGTGAACGTATTTACATCGATATTTTCCATGATAATTCTTTCAAAAATGCTCGGGGGATTTATCGAGGTGTTCTTTTTTTTGTATTTTGCAATTTTTCTTATTATTTGTTACTATTTCTATCGATACAGATATTCCACAAATATCCTGATATTTTTTTAAGGACTTTTATCTCGAATTTTTATCTAAATAATTTAACAATTTTAAAACATAACGCAATCTATCTAGATCATTTAACAAAAATTATTTACTACTAGAACAGTTATAGAAATCTTCAGAATAGTATTATATTATCCTAACCAAAATACTCTTGTATTATTATATTATTCTATTTAAATTCATAGCTAAATTATTCTATGACACTCAACTTGCCGAAATCCATAACAACAAATCAAAACTTATTCTGCTATTCTTATCAAGTTAAAAGTCAATTTTAGGGTTCGTTATAACATTTCCTTAAATAAAACAATCCTTTTAAAACTAATTTGGAAAGAATTATTGTAAATTATCCAAATAAAATACAGAAATTTTGCTTTTCTTGAGGAAAAAGCGATTAAACACTCTTATACGGTATAAAAAATTAACAGAAATAATTAAATAATTAATAGAGAAAAAATGTTTTTTTTTCATTAAAAATTCATCAAAAAATTTTGAGGATCAGTTGCAATGTTCGTATTCCGTAAACATTTAAGAAAGTAATTTTGGACTTTTTCTTCGAATTAAACGATGTATGGAAAAAAGGAATCAACAAAAAATAAAGAATGGTTAAAGAATGAAATTAATATTAAAATTATCGTTGAAGATATCAATTTTACCAAAGTTTTACTCGAACTATAAGTTTGCTTTAATGCTAATTTATTTCGTGAAATATTAATTTAAAATATATAAATTTGCCACTATTTAAAAATTACTATTATTTAAATGTATTATTAAAGGAATCTAAAAAAAAAAAAAAATGAGACAATACAATAACGAAATTCAAAAATACAAAAATATTATTTTTATCCCATCATAATAATTTTCTTCTAATTGATACCATATTTTGTATTTGTTTTTGAATATGGATTTCCATTATATTATTGATATATTTGAATTAATTACATGAAATAAAATTGATATAATTGACTTGATATAAATGCTCATGAAAACCATAACAAATATGAAATGGTTATTTTCACTCGCAATTAAGAGAAATAAATATGCAAAATAATATTTGTTCTAAATTAATTATAACGGTAACGAAATTATAAATAATAATAAATATAACAAATTAATTAGTAATATAATTAGAGAATTCTTAACTGAGCAAATATTAACAAACAAGAAAAAATAAAAGAAAGAACAAAATAAAATACAAAGTAACAATAATTGTTCAATTCAATATTCATACATTTAATATGATACTATCAATTTTATTGCATCGAGTATATCAAAGTAAAATATGAAAATGAAGTGTTCAACATCTGAAATGAAACAATTTTTATCAATTCGAATTAAAATCATAATGTTTTTATTTAAACAAATTACCGCTGTAAATCCTGCGTAGCAAGGAATGAACACACCAAAAATGTGAAACATGCATGCCGTTGAACTTCGTATCATAACGAGTAATAAAATCTTTTGTACTTTTAACGGTACAAAATACCATACAGAAATATATCTGTCCAATGAAGAGACATTTTTTTTTTTTTACTGTTACTGTAATTAATTTCACGAATAAAAATTCCAACTTACAATTCATGAAAAAATTCTTCACTGTTGTCTATAAGTATCTGGCCACTATGGTTGCACAAAAACATAATCACCAAATGATTGGCAAAGAAGATGAGACAGATTAAAATTTCTAAATGATCTTCTTAATTGTAATCGCATTTACTAGCTGTGAAAAAAAATTAATACACATTCAATACAATATCATTTTTAGATTGATTACATATAATGGTATATTTATTTATTATATATTTATACAATATATACAAATTCGAAACGTCTCGTTTAGTACGTTTCACAAATTGAAAAAATTTTAAAAAAGTTATATTGCCTTTACATATACAAGATGTCTCATTTTAATTTCTATTCGTACATTTATCTTTTGAATTATGCATTATTTAAAAAAAAATGTTGCATATAAAGTTTGTATTTCAAAAGATCTTTTTATGATGATTATGTTGGTCATTGAAATCTCATCTAAGATCACATATTGTTTAAATTTTGCTTTATGGTCAGAAGATTGAAATAAATTATTAATACAAAGAGTATAGTTATTGACATAAATATTTTGTTAAAGTTACTATTTCATAGAATTTAAATTTTTTTCAGAGTTATATAGATAAAATTTTTTAGACAAAAGTCAATCATTATATGAAGAATTGCATAAGCGATGTTTCCCAAATTAACTGTGATATTTTTGAATAGAATGTCAATTAAGGAACAGAATAAATCATTGTATCGATGTGCAAAGCTATTCTTTGAAATATAGAATATAAGGATTAATTTCTACGAATTAATAACAGTAAATATCTTGAATAATAATGAATAATCATGAATGATGTTCAGAAATCATAATTAGGGCAATAAATTCATTTTTGAATAGATTCTTATTAAATAATTTTATTAAAAAAAAACCGCAAAACAGAAAATTTGAGAATTCGAAAAAGTCTTGGTCTAAGCAAAGAGTTAACAAAAGATATTCTTTTTAAGCACAAATTTCGTATAAAATATTAGTTTAAGTAATTTAAACGATTAGATAATTTAAGAGATTAATTGTGATTAATATGAACAATATGAAATAAAACGTCCGGTAATAATTAACTGAGAATTCTGACATCTGCAAATTCGTTTATTATTATCATGTAACAAAGAAAAGATACTTACTCGATGCAGACATACAGCCATTGAAATCACAAGTAAAAGAGTAGACATCAAAAACTGTTTTCCTGAATTATTTATTATGATATTGACGAGTCTTCCATTGCAACATGAAAGTCGCGAAGGAAATATTATATATAAGACAAGTATATGCGAGATTGATTTATAATATAATCAAATTTTAATTTACCAACTCGATAGCTTGATTATGAATATCCACTACGCGATAAAGCTCGGTGAGTTTCGAGTCAATTTGCTTCGATGAGAGATTAAATATAGTTAAATACGTAATAATCTTTCGTATTCGATGGCTAAAAACATGAGACTTGTAAATACACATTGCTTAAGAAAGAACTAAATAATTTTATTATTTAAAATTGTTTTGTATATTTTTGTAGATAAAAAAAGTACATTCTTTAAAACACTGTAACTTCTTTAAAAATTGTACCAAAGAGTTATGTCTCTTTTTCTTTCTTTTTTCTTTTTGGAAAAATTAAAAGAATTAATTTGCTATATAATATATAAAAAAAATTGTATAAAATCTGCAATTTGAATCGAAGAAAAAACAATAAAAGATACTTAAAAAATTTTTTTTTACTATATATTAGACGTTTAATGAAAATTTAAAAAATGCATTTTGTAGATTTATCATTATTTATATTTGTATACATTTAAAATTTCAATTCGCAGCATTATTTCGTTAATATCTAATGAATAATAAAATCGAAATGAAAATTTATGCAAAAAATAAGTTGTTTGAAATCATATCACAAACATAAATCAAGACTTATCGTGAACATATTTGGTTGTATATTACCACTTATATTACTTAAAGTATATTAAAACAACATATATATATATATATAAAATACTCCATTAATAATCTATTAATAATCTGTTAATATCTATTAATACTCTATAAGGAAAATATAATATTTTAAATGGTATCAAATTTACAAAAATTATGCCAATTAAATGTAATTTTATGAATGTTAATTCATACTGTAAAAAATGTTGTAAATACGGTAATTGTTAAAATTTATTACATAATAATTATCATGCGATATGATAATTTACTTACCTGATAATTTTAAACAACATGCCTGTATGATAACTATAAAATCCGATTATCGATTCGGTACATATTATAGATAATAATCCAAATGTAACAACAAATATAAAATCCAAGCATAAAATATAAAAATATATATTTCGATTGACAGAAAATAATGTAATGTAACGAAGAATAAATATGCGATATTGGTTCAAAGGCATTATGAAATCCATTGTTATAAGATACAATAAGAATATATTAAATAATGCAATACTTAAAAAAATCATACCTAAAAATTAGAAAAACCAAAATTCAATAAATTATGTTTAAACTGGTATAGCAATTAATATAATATTATTATTGAAAAAATATGTTTGTGAAAATGAAAAATGAAAAATATTCTGATACTTTTGTTAAAAAATAACAAGTAAAGAATACAAATATTATAATTCAAGATTATATATATATATAATGAAAAACTTGTATTAAAACTTATAAAATGAGTTCAATGAGTATTTTAGAATATTTAAGTTGTT